TTTCTATTTATTTATCCTGGCAATCTAGCACTTGGTCCAGTTTAGGCACATAGAAAACTCTCAATAAATTTATCTTATCTATTTATTTATTGTGGTACTGAGGCTTGAACCCAGGGGTGATCTACCACTGAGATACATCCCCAACCCTTTTAATTTTTTAATTTGAGACAGTTCTTGCTAAGTTGCTGAGGCTGGCTTTGAACTTGCAATCTTCCTACATTAGCCTCCCAAATTGCTGGGAATACAGGTATGTGCCACTGCACATACTTTTAAATGAATGGAATAACAGCATAAGGAAATGTTTATGACAATGTTAGGCCAAGTCAATATACAAAACAAGCAAAAAACCGATTCACAGGAAAAGGATGGAAGAAAATTTAAAAATATGAATAGTAATTGTTTGAATTACAGGTTTTAGCATGATGTTTTTCTAGATTTGCCTGTGTTTTCCAGATTTCATATATACACTTTTCCATGGAAAATATGTAATGAAATGAAATGAATGAAGAAGTTACTTGATCCCTGAGAGCCTTGGATTAGAGAGAATTCTTGTCCAGGAAGTTTAACCAGCTGTGGTCTGATGTAGATTCTCAGACCCTTTAGACACACAAGGTGTCATACGAAAGCTGAGGGCCAGCCTGCCAACTAACATAATCAATGGAGTTCACTTTTTTAACAAAAGGCCATGGTAAACACAAAGAGTAGAGTAAAAGTTGGAATAATAAGACATAACTAACATGCTATACGGCATAACTCACAATGTAGCAATCAACCAAAGAACAATCTTTATTGGGCTAAAACTTGGAAAGAAATGTTACTATGTTTCATTGACAACTACACAGATCCCTTATATCTTTATGGATAGAGTCATATACTTGAAGGGAACCCAGTGAGCAAATGACTCAGCAAAAGGCCAAGTTAACAAATTATGCTTCTGTGGTCATTTATGTTTACATTATTTTTTTTGGATAAGCACAGAGCTTCAGCCTTGGTTATAAATGAATAAAAGTGTATTCATATTTCAAAACAATAGTTTTGACACTAAGGAATTAGACAAAGGAAATAAATTCACATACTCACAATTATTTAATAAACCTGTAGCAGAGTTAGGTGTGGGAACACACACCTGTAATCCCACTGACTTGGGAGACTGAGGCTGGGGGGGGGGGGCGCAAGTTTGAGGCCAGCCTAGACAACTTAGCAAGACCATGTCTCAAAATAAAAACATAGAAAGGCTGGGGATGTGAATCCAGTGCCACAAAAACAAAACAGAACAAACCTGTAGTAGTAGTAGTACGTATAAGAAAAAAATCTCTCAAATTTTTGTAATACCAGATTTCAATTAATGTTAGTTGGCAATAATCTATTCTTCCTGGTATAATTTTAAAAGTTCTTAATTTTTTCCTCTATAGACATTAATTGGAAGCCTGCTGCTATAAGCCTGCTGACACATGGATGTCCACCAAAGGTCCATGTGTTGAGGGTTTGGTCATCAGCCTATGGCACTGCTGTGAAGCATTACACCCTTCAGCAGATGGGGCCTAATTAGAGGAAGGCATGCCTCTTCTTTGAAGGGGATATTCTTCTCTTTGCTTCTTGGATGGCTTGAAGTGAATATGCTTCTTTTACCATGTGCTTCTGCCATGATGTACTGTGTTGCCACACACCCAAAAGCAACAGGGCCAGGTGAACATGGACTGAACCCATGAGCCAAAATAAAATTATCCTCCTCTTTTTTTCCCCTGTGGTACTGGGGATTGAACCCAGGGGCGCTTTACCACTAAGATATTCCCAATGCTTTTTATTTTTTTGAGATAGTGTCCTGCTAAGTTGCCCAGGTTGACTTCAAACTTCTGACCCTCCTGCCTCAACCTCCTGAGTAGCTGGAATTACAGGTACGTACCAACACACCTGTCAAGTTTTCCTCCTTTTAGGTTGGTTTATTCTAGGTATTTGTTATGGAAACTGAAAGCTGAATAACAGATTTGCCTTCAGATTTAATATCTCTTTAGGTTCATAACATCTTTAGTATTCGTATCTGATGATGAGAAATGGTTGTATTTTTCAACATAGACTCTTTGGCCTAGACTAATTAGGAAATAAGTGAAACAGGTTCTTCAGAAATATGTGAAACTGGATAATAGAAGTACAATGGAATAGCTAAAGATAGCTGTTAATAATTTTTAAATGCTATGAAATTGTGACTTTCATACAGATATAAGATGAATGCATTACGTCAAACATTTCATTCAACTCATTAACTAATTAATGAGGGAACCAGTAAGATGTTACAACTAGTTCAAAGTAGTGCCCAAGGTACCAGACATACATAGGCAGTCAGGGATGCATAAATTAATCTGCTTAAACTGGTAAAACTGGTCAATAGTCATAGAATAATAATCAACTGAATTTCCATTGAGCACAGTTTGCATATTTAGGAGCAAGAATAATTTTTATTATGGTCACTATAACTTCCAAAACTGTAAAATATGGGTTCAATCCCCAGTACCACAAGAACAAACAAACAAACAATAACAACAAATAAACCTGTAAAATAGCTCAAAGAATGTACATATACCACAGAGGCAAATATGCTGGACTCTTGTCTAGTTTTCTATTGAAGAAAACCAACAACCTTTTTTCTTCATTTGAAAAGCCTTTCATAATGTTTTCCCTACATAGCTGATTTTTGATGAGTGCTTATTATGGGCTGGGTGCTTTCTCAGTTACTTTAGATGTGTTAATTTACTTAATTATCATAGTAATCTTGTGAGGTTGATTCTATCATTATTTCCATTTTATAGGTGAGAAAACTAAGGTACAAGAAAAGGCAGGTAATTCACCCAAGGTCATCAAGCAATAGGAGGTGGAGCCAGGATCTGAATCCAGGTACTTTTGTACCAGCTATGCTGCCATGGATGCAAAATTATTAAGTATATTGCATATCCAACCAAAAGTAATATTGTTTAAAAAAATTAGGTGGAGAATCTTCATGCATATATGTGAAGGAAAGGACCAGATAGATTATACTAGATAAAGAACAGGAAAGATGCAAAGATGATTCAGAGTGTTTCCACTGATTGTGAGAGGGGGGACACTGTTCAAATAAAGAGATGAGGAGGAAAGTTCGTTTGATTTGGTTTTCAGACATGTAGACTTTGAAGTAATAACAAGATGTCAAGATGGGGAAAAAAAAACAGGCAGGAGATCAAAATGAAAATGTGGATGGGTAATTTTTTTTTTTTTTTTTAGTGGAGTGGATTTAAATTGTAGTATTGAAAACTGTGGCATGTATCTATCAGAGCTAAAGGACAAGCTCAGAGAGAAGAGATGACATTATTGCAAAAAGGGCTGGAGCAGGGCTAATGTATAGGCCTAAGAGAGGCAATTTCAAAGAGGAAATCAAAAGCTAGGTGAAGGGGTTCTTAGGTCCAGGGAACAAGCTGCTGTCTTTGGTTTAAACAAACATTAAGCTACAGTCACAAATGCAAATGGGCATAATTGAGACTGACGGTAAATAGAGGCTACACCATAAAGGGACACATAGTAAAGGACACATAGTAAAGGTTGTCAAGTAGGAAAGGGCCATGATAAGATGCACATTTTAGAAAGAACCAGTCTGGCTGCAATTCAATACAGAACAGTTTGCATTGCAAATTGGAGCGGGGAGGAATCCCTGGGATCAAGGTATAGGCAGCTGGTGGTTTGGGTCAGATCAGTGATGGCAATTAACTAAAAATTAAGAGGTCTGAGGGTATGAATACCAAAGGAGGTCCATGTACCATGTGAACAAATATTTAAAAGTTATAAATAAAGCTAGGAAACTATAAAAATATACTTGATCTTTCTACCTCTATACACACATCTTCATAAGGACCTAAGGTATAAATTGAGAATTTTCGGACTTCTTGGAGTTAAATGTTGGACCTTGGGGGCCCAGGAAAGCAGACTGTGGCTTGTAGCCTGCCCCTCTTTTTTTTTTTTTTCCTCACCAAACACCAATTTAAAATAATACAGACATTTTGAATACTTGAACCATACCTGACCTTACCTTTAAGTGAACTGAGGCAAATCAGTTTCTATAATGTTCAAAGGACTGGCGTTGGGGATAAAGCAGGAAACAAAATGATGAAACCACCCTCAGGGAGTGCAGTGGAAGAGGCAATCAACAAGCAGGTGAGCTACAGGTAGTGGCTGACTGATGGTGATCATTAGTGTTTTTCTCCCTGAGGAAGGTGACCAGTTCCCAACCAGGGTATCGCTGCTCGAAACCTCTGGGAATGTGTGTGGTCTTCTGGAGGTCACCATACCCGGCCATTCGGGAATGGCAAACTTCTTTCTAGCAGTGTGCAGGACAGTCCCTCCCAGAAGGTGCTGCTGCTCCCAAAGTGCCAAGAGTGCACCGGTTTGCCAAACTCAGAAGATCAAGGGTCGTATGTTTTTTCTCATATATGGAGAGAGGGAAAAGGAAAAGTAAGGTGTGGGGGTGGTGAGAATCTCAATAAAATCCAAGGGAGATCAGAAAAGGAAAGAGACCACGGGTGGCCGGAGGGGAGTGCTGCGGAGTGATATTGGCCAAATTATATTGTTACATTGTGTGCACTCAAGAATATATAACAACAAACCCCATCATTATGTACAACTATAGTGCACCAATAAAAAATGTGGAAAGACAAAAAAAAAAAAAAAAAAGAGCTCCCCTGTTGAGAACAGGGTAAGGCAGCTCCTTTAAGAAGAAGGCATCCTTCACAACTCAGGTGAGGCGGGGAGGAATACGGGGGTTCCCTGGATGGATGTGGGAGGGGTAGCCCGGAGGAATCGGCCGGACTTGGGCTGGGCTTTCCCGGAATCTGCGCAGGAAGCGCGGTGGCCCAGATGCAGAGGACCACAGCGCCACCTGGCTCTTCTCTGAGCCGAGACGCGAGGCTGCCCTCCCCGGCTGCTAGGCGGCCGCTGGACCTGCAGGGGGCGTCGCTGCGCGCCGCCGGCGCGGGGTCGAAGGGCACGCGGCGTCAGTGTCATGGCGGCCTCCACGGTGGGCTGTGGCTGGCGCCCGCTACAGCTTAACATCCCTAGTCTGTGCCGCAGCGGGCCGGGGCCCCGTAGTATGTGGGCGTGCGTGCGGCGGCTCCCGGGGCCCGCGGTGACCCGGAGGAGCGTGGTGGCAACCAGTGGGCCGGGCGTCTCGGGCACTGACCACTACTGCCTGGAGTTGCTACGGTGAGCCAGCCCGGCCTGCCCCGGCGGCAGGTCGTAGAGCTGCCCTTTAAGGTCAGGTGGTCGCCGTTAGGGCTAGTGTCCTGCCCCGGCTAGGGGATCAACGCCTTCCTTGTGTCTCTGGGCTGTGTGCGTTGTGGTGCGTCCGAGTGCGCGCGCGTGGAGGGAGCGAGGCGACAGGGACATTCATATGCGCCACTACTAAATCGTGGCAAAATTTCTTCGCTTGCCCACACCTATCACCTTGCCAGAACCTTGATTTTAACCGACATTCGTTTTTTGCATGCATACCCCTTTTTATTCACATAACAGCTAGCTGTTAATTTTAACAATAGTTTACATTGTGTTCTTTTTATGCCGATGTGCATTACTAAAAGTAGTTTATAAGTAATTGTTTAATTCCCGTTATAAATTGTGGTGGACAAATGTAGACCTACCATTTAGGGTTGTGAGAAAGCATTTAGAACAGTGCCTGGCACATAATTAAGGGCACTTTAAGTGCAGTGTAAGTTATTATTATCTGACGGAAATGGGGTTTAGGGGAATTTGAAAGAGGTTCACTAGAATAGCCTCATGAAGTCAGAGACTTGAAGTGTTTTGTTTCCTCTAGTAGCTCTGGGAAAGGGTTGGCATTTAAGAATGGCTCTTTATTTAATATTTGTGGAGGTGGGTTAAGCCTGCCTTGTAATCCAGGACTGACTATAGAGACCAGTGGCTTACCACTCCACCCACACACATTGGCATAAAGGTTTCGTTTTATGTTTTGTTTTGTTTTTCCACCCCTGCTAGGGATGAACCCAGGGCCTTGCTTTTACTATGTCAGCATTCTAAGTGGTATCATGTCTTAAAAGTACTTGGTCCCAAGGGCTTCTGATACTAGAATAACTAAACTACCTTGGATTTGATTAGGCAAGGGAATTTTAAAAATACATGTGTTTCAGTGTTTTGTTTTTGTTTTTATTTTCTGTGCTGAAACTTTAACCCCAGGGCCTCCTGTGAACTAAGCAAGTGCTTAACCACTGAGCTACATCCCTAGCCATTATTTTATTGTTTTTTTCTATATCGTCTTGCTATGTTACCCAGACTGACCTTAAGTTCCTGGGCTCAAGTGATCCTCCTGCTTTAGCCTCCTGAATATACCATTACCTCCAGCTGTCTTTATTCTTTTTGATGTTCAAGTTATTGCACACTAGGCCAAGCCAGTTTCTGTGTTCTTTTGTCACATCTCCCATCTCCCCCTCCTTTAAACGTATCTTTCTGCTCAAGAAGATGTTTCAGGCCTGTCCTTTATTTTCCTACCCCAGCCCTGAGTCAGTTGTTCTTCTAAGGACCCCTAGGTTCTTTCAGTGGAGATCGGTTTTAGGAACAAGTTCCAGGTGCTTGGTATGTTCACTGATGCTGGGAGTATGAGAGGATATTGCTTCTAGGTTTTTTAAGCAAATGCTGCTGGAAAATTGTGCACACACAGTCCTATGTTGGTTTCCATGTCTTATTTCTCAGATTTATTTATCTCTATATTAAGAACTCTGAATTTATACCAATACTGCATAAAGTATTTTCTTGATTTCTTCTTTTGTAGCTCATTCAAATTCTTTTTTTTTTTAAATTTTTTTATTGTGGGTTGTTCAAAACATTACAAATTTCTTGACATATCATATTCCACACTTTGATTCAAGTGGGTTATGAACTCCCACCTTCACCCCATACACAGATTGCAGAATCACATCAGTTACACATCCATTGATTTACATATTGCCATACTAGTGTCTGTTGTGCTCCGCTGCCTTTCCCATCCTCCCCCCTCCCCCCTCCCCACCTCTCCCCTCCCCTCCCCTCCTCTCTCTCTACCCCCTCCACTGTATAACCCTGAGGGTCTCCTTCCATTACCATGCAATTTCCCTTCTCTCTCCCTTTCCCTCCCACCTCTCATCCCTGTTAAATGTTAATCTTCTTCTCCTGCTCTTCGTCCCTACTCTGATCTTAGTTACTCTCCTTATATCAAAGAAGACATTTGGCATTTGTTTTTTAGGGATTGGCTAGCTTCACTTAGCATAATCTGCTCTAATGCCATCATTCAAATTCTTACTTCAAGCAAAGTGACTCTGAAACAATTAAAATTATAAGTACTACATCAATAATAATAAATTGAAATTTCTTTTTAACTGTCCTGAGATTGGCAGCAGGTACATTTTTTTTATAATTAGAAATAATTGACAAGATAAGAAAGGTCAGACCTGTTCTGAATGAAAGCCTCATTGATTTCAGTTAATTTTCGTCCGTATTTGTGTGTAGTTTGAAAAGTGAAGAGTAACTACCCTTTTTTTTTTTTTCTATTTGTTACAGGAAACGAGATTATGAAAGTTATTTATGTTCCCTGCTGCTCCCTGCCGAATCCCGAAGTTCTGCTTTTGCATTGAGAGCCTTCAATGTGGAACTGGCTCAGGCTGGTATTAAAATACCTTAAACTGTTATTTGCAAGATGGTGATATGTTTAATACTAAACAAATATAACTATATTAAAGAAATACAGTTGTAATTATTATATTATATGTATTTTAGATCTCTGATGGTACTTTCTTTTTTTATTAACTATTTAGGTTTAATTCAATACCAAAAATAAAACTAGCTGATAAACTTAATTTTTCTACAAATTTTATTTGTAGAAAACAAATAAAACAAATAAATCCTGGAATTTTAAATTTATTTTCTGAGGATATTACAAAACTATGCTATTAACATTGCACATTTATCTGTTAAGTTAATCAGAGCATTACTGCTTATTCTCTCCAATTATATAATCTACATGTATATGGAAATTTTTCAGCTGTGTGAGTGTGTGTGTGTGTGTATGTGTGTGTGAGTGAGAAAGAGAGAGAGAGAGAGAGAGAGAGGGACACAGACATACTGGGTTTTGAACCCAGGGGTGCTTTACCACTAAGCTAACATCTCTGCCCTCTTTTTTTTTTTGGTCTGTATTAGGAATTTAACCCAGGGCCTATGCATGCTAGGCAAGTGTCTAGTTATATCCCCAGCCCATCACCCCCTTTTAATATTTATTTTTGAGACAAGTTCTAGTCAAGTTGCCTAGGCTGGCCTTAAACTTGCAATCCTCCTGCCTTAGGCTCCCAAGTAGCTGGTATTACAGGTATGTGCCCTCATGCCTAGATTTTAAAACACTTTTAAAATTAATATTATAAATTTAATGTGAAGTGAGGATGAAAGAAATTTTAGCAAACCCAGACTTTAGAGCATGCTTACTCATTTTTGTCTTAAAAGTTTCAAAGGAAGGAGACTTCTTTTTTTTTCAAATGTAGAGTATGTATGTGTACTGATAAAAACAAATTGAAGTGAGGAGTGGAAATGAAGGAGTTTAAGTAGAATGGCATTTGTCTACTCAGTAAATTGAATGGAGAGTTCAGATATTGAGAGTAAAGGAGCAGGAAAGTACTGGAGTCTTGAAAAGAATGGCAAGTTTGGTACAGTTTCTCTGCTGAATATTATAGGAAGTGAACAAAGAATGAATAAAAGGATGTGAGTATAGCACCAAGGTAAAACTGAGATTCACAACTATGAATCTGTAGTGTTTATGAGACTGGCTATTTTTTTTTTTCTCTGAAGTATTCCTGGATGTCATGGGTTGTCCTTTCTCAAGTTTAAACTGCACATCAGCATGTTAAGTCAGTCACAGTTTAGCTATAAACAGTCACACTGTGGTCTTCCACTATAATTTATCAGTGATTAAAATTCCATTTTTAATAAACCCTCAGTGTTCCCTCTGAATCCTCTGTCACTTTTTAGAAGCATCTTGCTACTTTTTTGTATGTACTTGTTTGTTCACTGATTCAACAAGAATTAATTTTCTAAAATATGCTAGATACTATTTTAGGTCCTTGGGGTATAGCATTGAATACAATTTGCAAAGTTCCTGCATTCAATGAACAAATAAATGTATTATATATCAGAGGAGACAAGTTCTGTGGGGAACAGTAAAGCAGGACAAGGGGGAGAGAAGGAAACTGAGCATAGCAAGGTTTTCTATTTTATGTAGTGGTCAGGAAAAACCTCACTGAGAAGGAGGTATTGGAGCAAAAAATTGCAGGAAGTGAGGGAGTGTATTATATAGTAGGTAGGCAGGGTGTTCTAGGCAGAAAGAGCAGCAAGTAAAAAGGCTCCAAGGCATGTGCATGCCTGATACAGTCAAAGAATGGAAAGCCAGTGTGGATGGCAGGGAAAGGAGGGCACAGAAGGTGAGGATGAAAGTTGAGGTCTTGGAGATGACTGCAGTCACTTGACCTTTACTCTGAATGAGATGGGCAGCCATTGGAGGATCCTGAGCAGAGAGGGACAGCATCTTTTGGTCACCTTTTTTAATACCTTTTTTTATTTTTTATTTTTATGTGTTGCTGAGGATTGAACCTAGTGCCTCACACATGCTAGGCAAGTGCTCTACCTCTGAGCCACACCCCAGCCCCTCTTGGTCACCTTTTAAAAGGATTACCTTTGCTGCTGTATTGCTGTGCTTACTACATGCCACCGGGATCTGAACCCTAAACTTTGCCAAGAAATCCACCCTCCACCATTTTCTCAATCATTCTGTCTACATATGCAGGTTTTTTTTTTTTTTTTTAAATAAATACTGTAGTTTCAGAGTGTTGACAGTGTATTTATTAAAGTTTTTAACCTTATTTACAGATCAAGGACTCAGTCTCTGAAAAAGCAATTGGACTGATGCGAATGCAGTTTTGGAAAAAAACTGTGGAAGAAATATACCATGACAATCCACCACATCAGCCAGTGGCCATTGAACTGTGGAAGGTAAAAAAAGAAATTATTGCTTTTGATTCATAAGAATTTATGAGTCTACTTTGGATACAGTTTCGGTAGAAGTGATGATAGTAGAATCCTGAAAATTTTCTTAGGCCCATGTAATATTTAGATCTGTGTTAGTTTTGGCAGAAGAATTTATTTTTTATTTATTTTTTCTTGGTAGAAGTATTTAAAATCATTCACTGATAATTTGCACAGGTTTTTGCTGTATTTATTTATTAAAGGAAAAAAGAATGTGGTCTTTCTATATTGTAAATTGCATAGGCGTTTCCATATTTGTTTGTAGAATTTAATCCTTGCGAATTCTGATGCAGTGGCAGATAAATTTTCTGTTCTGTCTGCCCAACAGCTCCTTGTACCAGTGTTTTAATGCACACTCTGTGCTCTAGAACAATAGTGTTAATTTTTTTGTGAAGAGAGACTTGCTCTCAGCATATCCCAAACACAAACCTAAAACTACCTTGTCCTGTTTAATAAAATTGCTCACTAATTGTTAAGTGTTAAGAGAATGGATACTATGGACTAGAATATTACTTGTATTGCTAGATGTATATATAGAGTAAATGACTTTATATTAAAGCAAGTATATGGATTCCTCATTCATAAACAGGCATAATTTAGAAACATGCATAAATTATGCACAGAGGAAGGGAATTAGATGTCTTTTGTCACTGATGTGTGTCCCTATTGTAATATGATAAGTGCCAGAACAGGGTTTCTGTAACAGGAGCCATCAACAGACCTGACAGTGGTACACACCTCTTCTCAGGTCTGTGCACCAGCAGAGACAGGCCTGGTTTCTGGGCTCCAGATTGACTTCACAGAGCCCCAGTAAAGATGGAAAGCCAGACCCCCACACCGGGGACTCAGAAGAAAGAGTGGATGGGAAGCTGTGAGTATTAGACTAGTTGTTTACTACCTCTATTTGTCCCACTTCAAGGTCAACCAGATTACCCAGTAGAAAGAAAAGTTCCTCTAAATTCCAGAAACCCTATTGATTATTTTACACACAAACCTGACTGCAGTGCAGGTTTATGTTGACTGCATCAAAGGTTCGTGGCCTTTTTCAGGAAATACAGTAGAAGATCAGAAATTCCTTTAATGCAAATTTATCTTTCCTTAGTGTCTCTTAAAAAAACAGATGATACATCTGAATTGCAGTATGCTTATGTATGCATCAATTTTGGATCGATAATTTGTCAAATTTTAATAAGCACTTGTTATTTATTTATTTATTTATTTTTGTGATGCTGGGGATCAAACCCAGGGTCTTGAACATGTCAAGCAGAGCTCTACCACTGAGCTATATCTCCAACACAAGGTGCTTAAATTATGATGATTAATGTTGGTTGACTTTCCAAAGTGACCTATCATAAGGTTAATATGAATATTTGAAAGAAGCAGGTGGTGTCCAGAGCAGTTGTTCTTGTTGAATATTCTCTGCCTCTCACCAGTCTGTTGAACTGTGTGCTCATTGTGATCCAGTAAAACTTCCCATTGGTTCTTTGAAGATTGTCAGGTCCTTTTTAGAGGGGAAGCAATGATATTATGTTGTCTGGAGAGCTGGGGTCTGGTGGGGCTTCCAGCCCTGATAGGAACTGAAATCGAACAAGAAAAAAGGCCCAAATTATTTATTTAAGGGAAAATACATCAAAAGATTTCAGTGTGGCAGGCTTCTTAAGGAAAACAAGATAAAGATGGGAAAAACAAGTTGTTTGGGGCTAGGGAAGTTATATCCACTTTAGGGGAGGTGGGGGCTGCGTTTGAACCTAGGGCTGTGAACTAAGGTAAAGTGTCAGCTTTAATCTGAGCAATCTACAACTGGTGGATTCACACCAAGAGTTCTCAGAAAAGCAACCCCCCTGCCTTGTGATGGCTCAGACAAACCCATAATTCATACATGGCTTCCAACACTTTTCTGTTGTATTATTCCATTGATACTTTTCAGGGTACAAAATAGTTGAATATTTATAATTTCTTATACATTCCAGATAGGGTACTCCATTTCTCTGTGAATGAATATGAGTTATAGTTTGAATTTATGTTTAGAATCAAGGTTTTATTCAGTTTGGCTTTATTTTCCAAAGTTGATACTTTATTCAGCTCTTTTTCAATATTCATTCTTTTAACCCTGATCTCTAAATTTCTTCAGAATTAGACAGAACCATATTTTGTGGTCAAGGAATTACAACTGTTATAGCTTCATCCTTAAGTAAATAGGAGTTTGACTTTTCATAGATTGAATATTTATTGAGTACTCTGACATGTCAGGAATAGCACTAAATGGTGTAGTAACAAAGATCAAATATGCCTGACCCACTCAGACACATATAAACTAAAACAAGAACAGGAGTCTAATGACTGATTGGCTGACTTCTGGAATTTGGGAGAGAAACCCATGGGAAGTCCTGAGAGAAAATAGTAGTGCTCAGAACATTTTGGAACCAACTTCACACACACAGCCCTTTCAGCTTCTATCAGGCTCCCACCAGGCATTGTTGGCCCCATTCTTTATACTTACACTTTTGTTACATTCATGTGCATTGATGAGCATGCTGCCATTTACTTTCTGGTATCAATTGTATATGATGAGTCTTAGTTGAAGTATAGGATATCCCTAAGACTTAATGTTTCACTGCTATATTTATTTTATACTTAGTGTTGATCTGGCAAAAAATGTTTAAAAACTTACTTGGGGGTAATTTCAAACTTTCAGAAAGGTTACAAAATTAAAAATAGTACAATGAACATCTTTATATCCTTTACCTATATTGGTATATTAACATTTTTATCTCATTTTAAAATCATTGATGAGCATTCTCTTTTCCTTCCTCCTCTCTCTTCCCTCTCTCCCACTTCTGTATATTCACATATATGTGTATATGTATATATATTCATGTTCATAATTTTTTCCTGACTCAAAATTTAAGTTATATACATTATGACACTAACCTAAATCATTTCAGTATTTCCTAAGAATGTGGATATTCCCTTATATAACACTTTTGTCTAATTTCCCATTCATATTACAATTTTGTTAGTTGACCTAAAAGGTCCACTATAGCATTTTTCCCCTCCAGTATAAGAACCAATCTAGGGTCAAGTATTTAGTTGTTATATATCTCTCGTTGCCCCCCGCCCCCCACTTTCTCTAGCAGTACTGGGGATTGAACCCAGGAATGCTTTACCACTGAGCTTTGCTCAGGTTTGTTTTTTTTTTTTTTTAAATAGGGGCTAACTAAGTTGCTCAGGATGGCTTTGAGCTTGTGATTCTCTTGCTTTAGCCTCCCAAGTAGCTGGGATTTTTGGCAATAGCCATTGCACCAGCCTGTATCTTTTGTCTTTTATGACATTGACTTGGGAATTGAACCCAGGACCTTGTGTGTTCTAGGCAAGTGCTTTATCACTGAGCTACATCCCCATCCTGACATTGATGTTTTTTAAATATAGCCTTCCCACTATTTTTCCTCCCAGAATACTCATTTTAGATTTGTGTAATGTTTTCTTATTATTATATTTAGGTTATAGATTCTTGACTGGAACTTAATAGGTGATAGGTCCTTCTCAAGGGATCCTATTAGGAAGGATACTTTGTCCATTTTTCCTTTATTGGCATTGTTAGTTTTGATTACCAAGTCAAGATGTTTTCTGTTTTTCTTACTCTAATTATAATCCTCTTTGCAACTTAAATAGCTAACTTTGAAGAGATACTTTAAAACTCTGCAAATATCCTGCTCCTCCTCAAAAATTTTCCCCTAAACTTCGTTGTCATTGGTGGTTCTTATATATTCAATCTTTATCATTATGGTTGCAAAATGATAATTTCTCAGCTTGGTATAGTGGCACACACCTGTAATCCGAGTTGAGGCAGGAGGATTGCAAGTTCAAGACCAGCTGGGTAAGTTAGCAAATACCCTGTCTCAAAATAAAATTTAAAAAGGCTGGGATAGCACTTTTACATGCCGCTATTGCCTGTGGTCATTCTCTCAGCCATGGTCAATGAAAGAAAGACTGGACAAGGCTCCTCGTCGGAGAAGTGCCCATTTATTGAGGAACAACTTTGCACATTTATAGAGCCGGGGGTGGTTTAACAGTTGGCATGGGGCACTTTCTGATTGGTGGGTAAGGATCATGAGGGTCAGCAGGGCTCACCATTGGGTGGCTTTTCCCGCCACTGTCTCAGGGGATGGGGAAGTTAGTACCAGAAGAGAAGCGCAGTCAGCGCCATCTTTGGAGCCGGGCAACTCCCAACAGTCAACCCCATCGTGTTCTTTGACATTGCCATCAAAGATGAGCACTTGGGTCGAGTCTCCTTTGAGCTGTTTGCAGACAAAATTCCAAAGATAGCAGAAAATTTTCATGTTCTGAGTACTGGAGAGAAAGGATTTGGTTATAAGGGTTCCTGCTTTCAGAGAATTATTCCAGAATTTATGTGCCAGGGTGGTGACTTCACATACCTCAATGGCACTGGTGGCAAGTCCATCTATGGGAAGAAGTTTGAAGATGAGAACTTCACCCTGAAGCATACAAGCCCTAGGCCAAGCACAAATGGTGCCCAGTTTTTTTGTCTGCATTGCCAAGTCTGAGTGGTTGGATGGCAAGCGTGAGGTCTTTGGGAGGATGAGAGAGGGCATGAACATTATGGAAACCATGGAGCATTTTGGATCCAGGAATGGCAAGACCAGTAAGAAGATTACCAATACTGACTGTGCACAATTCTAACACATTGGACTTCTGTTTATCTTAACCACCAAACCATTCCTTCTGTAGCTTTGGAGAGCACCCCTCTACACCATCTGCTTGCAGTATCCCATAATGTTTGTGCTCTCGCTGCAGTTCTTTAGGTTCCATATTTTATTTTCCTCCAAGTCTAGCTGGATTGCAGAGTTAAATTTGTGATCATGAATAAAAACTAAATGACAAAAAAAAAAAAATAAGGTGGGAGGGCTGGGATATATATATATATATAGCTCAGTGGTAGAGAGCTTACCTACTATGTGCAGGGCCCCAAGTTCAATTCTTAGTATTGCAAAACTGAAGCACAACAAAAAATTCCAAAAAGATAATTTTTCAACTACAGCACTCTGTTTACATCTATCAATTGGCAATGGATATGAACTCTTACTCTCCTATGTTTAATTGTTTTCTTATTAATTACTGGGGTGTGTGTGTGTATGTGTTTATGTTTGCAGTGGTTTATAATTCATTAGTGGATTTAATCATTTTGGTGTTCAGATTTCCCAGAGCTCTCCCAGAGTGGGAGCTCCTTCAAATTGGCATCTCTATCCTTATAACATCCCTCATCTTTTTTTTTTTTTTTAACACTTTCTTATTTTCTGGCACAATAAGATATTCTGGGATTATCTTGAACCTTCCCTGTCCCAACTCTGGAAGCACACATTTCTCTTGAACTGTGATTCCTTTGTTGGGAGTTATTTTAAGACTACTATCTGGGTACAAGGTGGGTTCTTTGCCGTTGGAGTATATTACTTGCTAATATAAGAGTTTGCCCTGAAGAGTATTTTCATTGGAGTTTTAGTTACTCTTTTCATTTTTAGAGAAGTGGTTAGTTTTGCTAAATAAAATCTGTATCCTGTGGGGAAAAACTTGTATATAATGTATAAACATAGACATCAAAGTGTATCACATAATAGAGATGTTCAGTATTTAATTATTGTTTTTATTTGAAAGTGGAATTGTTAAATTACTAATATGGGGGTGGCAAGACATTTATTAGAAAAGTATTAGAAATATTATCTTGGAAGTGGTTTTTTTTAGATGCCTCAGTTTATTTTAATTTCTATTATCAGAGGTGTTTAAATTTTGATAAATTTGTTTTATGTTTACTTTTGAGAAAATGATCATCTAGCTGTGTTCCAATGGGAGGTGTGGAAGAGAAAAAACGTTCCATCACCGATGTCTCTTGTAAGACTAACATTTTAGGAAATAAGTGGAACAGGGAATTATGAGATGACATTTCAACCTTCTGTCTCCCCTTTCTTCCTGTGTAATCTTTATCTCTGCTTCTGATAACCTTATTAGAATTCTCAGTGAATGGAATGGGCAAGAGGAAAATAACTACCACAGGGTCAAATTCTGCTTCTAACCTTAAGAAACTAGTGTCTATTTTTCTAAACTTCCATATTTTAAGAAATAAATGTTGCCAGGCACAGTGGCACACACGTGAAATCCCAGTGACTCAGGAATGCTGAACCAGGAGGATTTCAAGTTTGGGGCCAGCCTCAGCAACTTAGTGAGACCCTGTCTCAAAATTTAAAAAAGGACTGGAGATGTAACTCAGTGGTAAAGCTCCCCTGGGTTCAATCCCCAGAACCCCTTTCTATCCACCCCCAAAAAAGAAAAAAAAATCTAGGAGCAACTTCACTGGTTGTGTTTGGCTTAGAGTCTTATGGGGTTGCACTTTACAGAGGCACTGGAAGATGTACTTCCAAGTTGGGTCACTCATGTGGCTGTTGACAGGATGCCTCAGTTCTGTACTACCTAGACCTCTGCATAGGACTGTTTGAGTATCCTCATGGCAGAGCACCTGTTTTCTTTTCTTTTTTTTTTTATTGGTTGTTCAAAACATTACAAAGCTCTTGACATATCATATTTCATACATTTGATTCAGGTGGGTTTTGAACTCCCAATTTTACCCCAAATACAGATTGCAGAATCACGTCGGTTACACATCTACATTTTTACATAATGCCCTATTAGTAACAACAACAGAGCACCTGTTTTCTTTGAGTGAGTGATGGTGTCAGGTTTTAGTTCATAGTCACTTGGCCCTATTGCTGTGAGGGCTTGTGAGGCAGAACATCTCTGTGGGTGTGGCTGAGCAAAGCTGCTCATCTCATGGCAGCCAGGAAGCAGAGAAAGAGAGAGATTAGAAATGTTTCTAAATGCTTTCTAGTGATACTTCTCTAACACTGCTATCTTATCTGGTGATGACTTATTACAAATGCTCCTTAGTTTTGTATTTGGTTTGTCTTTTAGTCTAATTTGCGTAAGTCATTTCTAATACTTTCCAAAAACTTAACAACACTTTTGTTTTCTTTTAGGCTGTCAAAAGACATAATCTGACTAAAAGATGGCTTATGAAAATCATTGATGAAAGAGTAAGTTGAAATTGTCCAAGACTTAAGGTTTTTTTCTTTTTAATCCTTAAGCTTATTCTTCAGGGAGGAAATATGTGTGTATTAATATTTTAGATGAAGGAAGTTTTTAGAGAACTGTGTCATTTTATCTATCCTTCATCCTTTCATCCTTCATCCTTATATTCCACTACCTTTGGCTCTCTGTTCCTACACCTGGAGACACATAGGCAAAGATAGGTATCTAGGCAGAGGCATGTATATGCACAACTGCACTCTGTTTTTTAAAATTTGGAAATGTTTTTAATTTAATTTTATTTTTATTTTGTGATACTGGGGTTTGAATCCAGGGGCACTTAACCACTAAACTACATCCCCAGTCCTTTTTATTTATTATTTTAAGACAGAGTCTCACTAAGTTGCTGAGGTTGGCCTCAAACTTGTGATTCTCCTCAAGCCTCCTACCTTAGCCTCTCTAGTCACTGGAATTACAGGAATGCATCACGACACCTGTTTATTTTGGTTTTCTTAATTGGGCATTTGCATACTTTTGTAAAAATAGAATACTGTAATATAATTTCGTGTATCTGACACCTGGCTTTAATATTATCAGCACATGGGGCTGGGGATGTGGCTCAAGCGGTAGGGCACTCCCCTGGCATGGGTGCAGCCCGGGTTCGATCCTCAGCACCACATACAAACAAAGATGTTGTGTCTGCCGAAAACTAAAATATAAATAAAATATTAAAAAAAAAAATAGTTACCAGCACATGTATAATCTTATTGCATCTGTATTATATCAACTCCCCACCATTAACCTCCACTGTATTATTTTAAAGTACATCCCAGACATACCCTTTTATCTGCAAATACAAATATATCTTAAAAGTGTAAAGACTTTTCAAAAACATACTATCATGCAATTATCATACCTTAAAAATTACTAATAACTTCTTAATATCATTTACTCAAGTAGTCATATACATACTTTTATGCATATCCCAGTGCATGGATCTGTGTCCAAATAGCAGAGGGAAGAAAGTAAGTCTGACAATTTCAGTGATTGGAATCCTGTAGTAAATTCTTAGAGCTAAGTTTTGGGTGATGACTTTAGCATTAAAAATGAAATTGCTCAGTTAACCCACAGAGCGAAAAAGCATTAAGAAAATCTGTTTTTAAGGTATTTTTGTTTTTACAAGATAAAATGAGAAAACTTAAGACAGAGGTACCTTTTTATTTAATGAAAAGTAACCTTTGGCATTTGAAAGGGAAGATATTTAAAAGTAAAGGGCTGAGATCAAACATTGATCCACAGATTTGATAGAACCGTAATCAAAATTATAGCTTCTTTGCTTTATATAGATTGACAAGCTCAACTTAAAATTCATGTGAAAGTGCAAGGGACCTAGAGTAGCCAAAACAATCTTGACAAAGAACAAAGTTGCAAGACTCACATTTCCTGATTTTCAAACTTAGCTATAGTAACCAAGCTGTGTAGTTTTGATAAAGAATATAGATCAATAAAATAGAAATGAGAGTCCAGATGTAAACTTACTTATTTATGGTCAGGTGAGTGAATTTATTTTTTTTTTAATTTTTAAAATTGATTTATTTATTTGTTTTAATTAGTTATACATGACAGCAGAATGTGTTTTGATTCATAGTACACACAATGGAGCACAATTTTTCATTTCTCTGGTTGTACACAAAGTAGAGTCAGACCATTTTGTGTGTCATCATACATGTACATAGGGTAAGACAATTTAGTGGGGGGAAAAAATAACTTCTTCTTCTTTTTTTTTTTTTTTTTTAATGGTCCTGGAGTGGGGATTAGCCTTTTTAACAAATGGTGCTGGGACAGCTGACTATCCATATGCAAAAGAAAGAATCCGTACCCCTGTCTCACACTATACATGAAAACTAACAAAGTGGATCAGAGACCTAAATGCTAGAGTTGAAACTACAAAACTCTGGAGAAAACATAGGTATAAATCTTTGTATTTTTAGGTTAGGCAGTGATTTTTTATTTAGGATATCAAAGGCAATTCAAGAAAAGAGAAAATAGATAAATTGAACTTCATCAAAATTAAATACTTCAAGAAGATGAAAATTCAGAGAATGACAATATTTTCCAGTTATATACTAGTATCTAATGCATCAGGAGCTCTTGCAACTCAACAATGAAAAGACAATTTGAAAAGAGGCAAAGGACAAATAAAGTAAAAAACTAGTTTACAAATGCATAAAAAGAAAAAAGTTCAAAAAGCCGGGCGGGCAAGGTATTCAAGTAGACATTTCTCCAAAGAGGATATAAAATCACAAATAAGCACTATGAGATTACACATGATTAGGATGGCTATAATAAATGAACAATCCTAATCATACTCATTGGGATGGATATAATACAAAAGAAGTAACAAGTATTGGTGAGAATGTGGGGAAATTAGAACCCTTCATACATTGCTGGTGGGAATGTAAAATGATGCAGTTGCTTTGGAAAAACAGTTTGGCAGTTCTTCCAAAAGTTAAACATAGAGTTACCATATACCTACCCAGTTAAATCAAGGTCTTTTATTACCTTGGGCTTTAGGAGGAACTAAAAATTAAGCCAACCCCATGTCTGTGGAGATTTGTACACTGAGATTATTCCTGAGTTTTATTTTGAGAGCTGATTTGTAAGTATTGAATGTATAGGACTTAAATATCTTACTGCCTACTAAACAAATATGCTAAATGATACTCTTATTTAGTTCTTTAGGATAAAAATAGCAATTTTCTATATAAAATATTGATAACCAACAAACTTTACTTGCATTTTCTTTATAGGAAAAAAATTTAGATGACAAAGCATATCGTAATATCCAGGAACTTGAAAATTATGCTGAAAACACACAGAGCTCTCTTCTTTATTTAACATTAGAAATATTGGGTAAGTTGTTTTTCCATTTCATATTTCTTTTTTCAAATAAAACACTTTTCAGATTTCACTATTTCCTAATGTGACAGTCTAACCAGTTTAGCACTGAAATTTTTCTTTGTGTCATCTATAAAGGTACATTTTTTTTTTTTTTCTAATAGCAAAAGGGGAATATGTATATTCTCCTTTGCAAACATACTATTCCAAGTACTCAGGCTCTTACAAAGGCACTTTAGGTACTTCACGGGAATGCTATATAGTTTATAATCTGGTAATTGCTGAGAGTTTTACTTTATTACTATAGCATCTCCTATAATTTGGAAGGCCTGTAGCCTGATTCTTCCTTCCCAGTCAGTAATATTTGACCACATTTAAAAAGAAGGAAAAAAATAAATTGTCTTTATAAAAGTTTTAATGAGATTTTTCTTTCCCTTTCTCTCTCTCTCTCTTTTTTTTAATGTGTATTTTTTAGTTGTAGTTGGACACAATACCTTTATTTCACTTATTTATTTATGTGGTGCTGTGGCTTGAACCCAGGGTCTCGAATGTATGAGGTGAGAGCTCTACTCCTGAGCCACAACCCCAGCCCCTCCCTTTCTCTTTAAAACATTTTTTAGATGGTTCTTTTCCTCCTCTGACTTTTCCAAATTAGTGATGTCTTGTAATGAGGAAATTATTTGGCCTGAGGATAATACTGTCTCATTTGAAGAAGGTTATATATTTTATGTCCCCCTAAAAGAAAAAATACAAGTCCCCAATGAATTTCCTAGGCCTCTTCTGCCTGCACCCCTGGTGATGTTTGCCATTACAGTGAAAGGAAGAAGCAAAGAGCAGAATGTTTGTAAAGTATATATTTTAAATGAGGTCATATGGAAATTACACAGAGGAGGAAAAAAATGGAAGACTTGTGCTGTTTTTCTTTGATAACTGATTAAAATTCTAATTGTGTTCTTGGTGTGCTGAAGTTTGAGGAAAACATTTTAAAGTTTGGTACAGATACCTGCTAATAGGAAAATGGTCAACTTGTCCTTTGCCTAGTTTGTTCTGCCTAAAGCCTGTTTTTCATATATAAAAAATAGGACAAACATCTACTTTAATGTATTTAGGTTGTTTCTCTATGATGTTTCTATATTGATTTCTCACACACTTAAAAAGAATAGAATGGCCATGTTTCATTTCCAAAATCATAGGTATAAAGGACCTTCATGCAGATCATGCTGCAAGTCACATTGGAAAAGCACAAGGTATTGTCACCTGCTTAAGAGCAACACCCTATCATGGTAGCAGAAGAAAAGTATTCCTTCCTATGGATATTTGTATGCAGGTGAGGCTGTAATTTGCACATTCTAATAATTTACCTCAGGAATGCATGGAGTGAAGTTATCTCTTGGTTCTTGCTTAGTCTATTCCAATTTGAAAGTAAAACTGATTGCTTCCGGCAAACGTTCTTCATCTTTTTTGCCCCAGAGTTAATCAAGTCAGAATTTAATTTGTTAGGTGTGTTAGGTCTTTGGAGGAGCTATGAGTAAGAAGGTCTAGAGAACTTCATTTTTTGTAGCTTCAAATTGATGCTTTATTCCCTTCCCTTCCAAGCAATCACAGTAATTATTCCTAGTGTTTGCCTTGGCCTGTTCTTTATTTTATTAGAGGAAATAGTCTTTTTTCTTTTTCTAAGTCCTGGGGATTGAACCTAGAGCCTCATGCATGCTAGGCAAGTGCTGTACCACTGAGCCACACCCCCAGCTCAGTCCAAATTTTAAAATGTTATTCATCAGAACTTTATTTTTCTGTGTCAGATTCTTTATTGTCTTTGATTTTAAAATTCTTACGTGTTTGATTTTTGGCTCATGTAATTTTTTTCTTCCTACAACTATTGTTAGTTAACATCTTATTGCATATTCCAGCAGTGTGTGTGTTTCTCTCTGTACACACAGACATGCACACATACATATATTTAGTTTTTAGAAAATAGGCATTATATTGTATATACCATACTGTTCTATCACTTATAGTCTCCTTGTTTTTATTCTGGGGATCAAACCCCATGCCTCACATATCCTAAGCATGTATTCTATTAGTGAATTACAACCTCAGCCTCAGCTGTTTTCTTGGGTTAAGCTAGTTTTAGTATGCTTATAGAGTTCTAATATAATGTATATTTTCATACACAGCATGGTGTTTCACAAGAGGACTTTCTACGGAGGAACCAAAATAAAAATGTGAGAGATGTAATATATGACATCGCCAGCCAGGCACACTTACACCTAAAGCATGTAAGTAGCGTCTTTTTTGAAAATCATTTAGGAAATTATCATTTCAAGATGTGTTTATTCCTAGAACATGGTTCTGGTATTTTTACCTTAGCAGTCAGTCTTTGTTCCATTTTTCATTAAATTCCCAGTAAATTTATCTCAGGGACTATTGTAAATGTTGCCCTTTTTTTTTTTTTTTTTTAGGTACTAGGGATTGAACTCAGGGGCATTCAACCACTGAGCCACATCCCCAGCCCTATTTTGTATTTTATTTAGAGACAGGGTCTCACTGAATTGTTTAGTGTCTCGCTTTGCTGAGGCTGGCTTTGAACTCACTATCCTCCTGCTTCAGCCTCCTGAGCCACTGGGATTACAGGTGTGTGCCACTGCGCCCGGCCAACTTTACCCACTTAAAAAAGAAAATCCATGTTCCCTCTGCCAGCAGATGAGTGCACCCTTTACTAAGTCAAGCCTGAACTTTAGTATGTGGCTTCCTCTGCTCTGCTCACAGGGTGTCTTGCCATGTGCCATGGCTGCTGGTGTCTCTGTCCTCCCTTCCAGGACTTTGCATTCATCCTCAGCAGTCCCCCACTGGTGTTTTCACTTTGGGTCTCTGATAACCTGCTCCCCAACCCCTTGAATTTTTTTTTTTTTTTTTTTTGAGATGAGGTCACACTATGTTGCCCTGGTTTCAAACTCCTGAGCTGAAGTGATTCCTCTTTAGCTTCAGTTTCCTGTTAAGTTGCCCCTTTTATCATCTGGTTTGTTGCTACTAAATTTACAGGTAGCCTGTGAAACCTTTTATTTCTTCCTTTTCTCCCCTAATTAAACTTGTTGAATAAGTGGTTTGTAATTCATTGTTACCCCTAGACTCTTCCCACATAGACATGCTGATCCTGTTATAATTTGTCTTCTATCTACTCTAATAAACAGTTGCTAGTAAATAATCTTATTGCCAAATTTAATGGCTCTTTATTTTATGTTTTTGGTATTGAATTGAAACTAGGAGTGCTTAACCACTGAGCCACATCCCCAATGCTTTTTATATATATGTATATACGCACAAACACACACGTATAAATATACATTTAGTTGTAGATGGGACACAATACCTTTATTTTATTTATTTATTTTAAATTCTTTTTTTTAGTTGTTGATAGACCTTTATTTTATTTATTTATATGCGGTACTGAGAATCGAATCCAATGCCTCACACATGCCAAACAAGTGCACTACTGCTGAGCCCCAGCCCCAGCCCCAGCCCACCTTTATTTTTTATTTATATATTTTTATGTGGTGCTGAGGATTGAACCCAGTGCTTCACACATGCTAGGCAAGCACTCTATCACTGAGCCACAACCCCAGCCCTCCAAACCTTTTTAATATTTTATTTGGAACCAGGGTCTTTCTGAACTGCTTAGGGCCTCACTATGTTCTGAGGCTGAGTTTGAACTCATGATCCTCCTACCTCAGCCTCCCAAGCTACTGGATTACAGGTATAATGGCTCTTTAAAATTCTTGTTCTTGTTAACTCTTCTTCCTTTTTAATACCATTGACTTCTTTTCTCTTTGAAACTTTTTTTCTTCCCTTGATTCTCTAACTTGGCTCCTGAATTGGTTCTTGATTTCTCCTACATACCACTTTAGATATTCTCCAAGAGTTTTCTTCTAAGACTTCTTCAGTTTGGGATTTGATGCTGTTTACTCTTGTCTTTCTTGACACTGTGTTCTTTATCTCTGTGCTATTCTGTACCAAAGCTCCTGTACCATTGCTTGATTTCAGTGGCTTCTGAAGAGTTAGCCTTCTGTAAATCCTAAAGACTTGATCATTTACATGTGCACCTCGGCCTTTCTACTTCCTGTTTTTCTGTTTCCTGTCCTCTCTGCCTTACTCTTTATAGTTAGTTCTTACATGTCACCTTATCAGAAAGATATTTCTTGGCCGGCTTATTTAAAATAACATCCTCCCTTTTCATTACCCCCAGTCTCCTTTCCTAGATTAGCACTTTTCACTTTCTGACATGAAAAGTGTGTTTGTTTGTTTATTGCCCCCCCTACTTTATGGAATGTAAATGACTTTGGTTCTGTGCTGTATTGTTCAGCATCTAAAGTGCCCAGTTCATTATAGATACTCATGTATTTATTAAATAAATAATTAGATTGAAAACTCTTCGAGGTTAAAGACTTTGTCTTAAGCTTTTAAATTTCTTGAAGAATGTAACCCAGTTCTCTGCCATGACAGAAGTATTGATAAAATACATGGGACTTGGGGCTGATGTTGTGGCTCAGTGGTGGAGTGCTCGCCTAGCATGCACTGGGTTCGATCCTCAGCACCACATAAATGTAAAATGAAGACATTGTGTCCACCTAAAACTTAAGAATAAATATTAAAAAAAAAAATACATGGGACTTTAGTTGAGAAATACTTAAGACTAGCTAAGTTTAAGGTAAGATCTGAGAACACTATAGATTTGCAGAGGCAGGAAAGCCCTGGACCTGTATGTGGAACTGAGTAGTCCTAGTCAGTGGACATGTACCCTGCCTAGGAAATAGCAACTCCTATGCTTTACTTCCTGGATATGGGTACAGTAAACCTGGACTGGTACTAAATTTCCAAATTCTTTTAAATAGCTAAGTTTGAAAACTATTGGTTTGTAGGTTATATGAAATCCAGTCCTGGAAAGTAAGTGTGGAACAGTGGATGAACAGAAAGTTAGGGAGCTGTAGAGGCTTTTGAGAAGCAAAGGAGCGTGGTCTGTCATTTACTAATCATGTGACTGTAACCTTGCTGTGCCTCAGCTTCCTCATCTGTAAAAGAGGATCATATTAGCCCCTAGCTCAAAGAATTATTTGAGTAAATGAGTGAACTTACATGAATAGTTGATAACAGCGCTTGGCTTGTAATAAGTGCAATAGAATTAGCCTTCATCATCATCATCAAGTAAAGCAGTGGCATTAGTGTTGCACAGTAGAAAACTGCCAGCAGTATTTGAGAATACACATTTTGGAGGTTGGGAGATCAGTTAGAAGACTTACTTAGGAGAGGGAACAATTGTGATTTAAAGAGAGTAGATGTTTATATGTTATACACACATGTACGTAACTGAAGTGGAATCAATGAGACTTGACAACTCATTGGATTGAGACGAGATCAGGAAGAGGGAAAGTCAAAGACTGCATGAAAAGTTCAAGTATAGATGATAATGGTGCCATTAAGTAATAAACACAATAAAGAAGCAGGTACGGTTCATGCTGATCTTTAGACTTCTGACTAGCTGCTGCACATAATTGAATTTAAGGGGATTAGAGGGCATTTTGGGAGATGGGCTATTGAAAATTCAGGATCGTGACTTTAAAAGGAGGTCAGGACTGGAGATAAGAGATTTGGAAGTTATCCATATGAAAGGCTTACAGTTAAATCTCTAAATTTGAGTGATGTGGTTCAAGGAGAATATACATTTAGACAAGAGATGGGCAGAGAACCTTTAAGACCTTCCTCCATTTATAAAGTAAAAAGAGAAAGAACCTTTATTAGAAAGAAGGAAAAGGTAGAATGGTTAAAGAAACAGGAAAACTGAGTTACTATACTGAAAATTTAGGGAAGAAAGGAACAGCAAAGTATTACTTGGTGGTGAGAGATTGAAGAGAACAAGCATGGATTATCTTTGACCAATTTTAATAGACTTTGGGGGTAAACCCAAACTGCAGTGAATGAAGTGGAGGCGGTGAGTATGTGCTCTTCCTAGTGTAAAGAACACTATGAGTAAAGACAGGGATAAGAGTGGTGAATGCAGAATGATAAGCATCAGTCTGAGTAGACCACGTGTTCATAGCCAGAGGAGTAAGGAGTGAAGTTGGATAGATGATTAGAGGTGAGATGTGAAGGCCTTTGAATTCCAGGATGAATAGTTGATACTTGACTTATCAGGGAATTAAGTTTAAAAAAGTACAAAATGAAGTGCAAAAGTTGCAAAATGCCCCAAGGACATTAATTTGTCTGTGTGGAATCACTTAAGAGGATTTTCTATTCATCTAAATGGGAGATAATGTCACTCTAAGCTACGGAGGTGCTAGAATTTACTGATGCAAGTATTTCTTTGTTTACCCTTTATCACAGCACTGAAGTGCCAGAGTTATTATAAAATGTTATAAGTTAGTTGGAAAATGCCAAGGTCAATACATAAGAAAGAATGGAATTTTTAATATAGTGTAGTAGCCACTTTCTCTCAAGTCCATTATACTTTGGAAACTAATCTATTTGGCAGGAAATGAGCTGTTTATTTTTGGGTTTGAGAGGCCTTTAGTTGTGTTATCAAACTGCTCGTGTTGCTTTGTGTTCACTTTCAGAAGGAGAATATTTATTTGTAAAAATACTTCAAACCAGTTTTCTTTTCCCTTCCTTTTTAGGCTAGGTCCTTTCACAAACGTGTTCCTGTGAAAGCATTTCCTGCTTTTCTTCAGACGGTAAGTACATTAGCAGAGAAGGCTGTATAATTAGTGAAGCAGATGTGCGTGATTTCCTTTTGTACTTTACAAGGTTTGCAGTGCAGTTCTTCCATTTGGAGCCTTTGGTTTTATTTCCTCCAGTATAGTGGGCTTTATTAATTACGTGGTGTTTTTGGTGATGGTTATTCCTGTACTTCCAGAGGTTGGTGAGCTGAGTTGTCATTAGCACTGACTACAGCCAGACTGCATTGGGTTGAATCTGCTTTGCCCTTATTTGCCATGGGATCTCAACTTTCTTAATCCTTGTGTTCCTCAGTTTACCCACTGATAAAATGGCAAATAATAGGAGAAGCTATCTTATAGGATAGGATTGTTTGCTACTAGTAGCTATATAAATATTGCTTACTCTATTAATTTTTTCTGCATAGCAGACTGAGCATATTGTAGAATTGGTTTCTGAACAGTGGTTCACAGCCCAGTACTGAGCTGGCCACATCAGAATAATGTGGAGAGCTTTTTTAGAATGTGGATTCCTGGGGTCTCATTAAATAAAACTCTTGATATTGAAGAGGGGACACTTCCTAGGAGACTCTGTGATTTTTAAAGAATAATTCTATGTAACCAGTTTTGGGAACTGTTGTTCTAAAATAGAGAACTATTGTTCTACATAGAGAATTTATAATTTATTATTATTATTTTTGTAGTTGTAGATGGACAGAATGCCTTTATTTTATATGTTTATTTTTATGTGGTGCTGAGGATTGAACACAGTGCAATGCTAGGCAAGCACTCTGCCGCTGAGCTCCAGCCCAAGCCCCGAGACATTATGATTTCTTCCAGTTATCTGGAACCCATCATGGGACAGGCTCTGAACTAGATTTTTCCATACATTATTGCTAGTCTTCCTGGGAATAAACTTAGGTATGGCATAGAAAGCAAACTTCAAATATTTGTGATCTTTGAAAATTGTGAACTCAGACTTTCTATAAAACCAAACATATTTTCTTCTATCTTTTCCCTCCAAATTGTATTTAAAGATTTATTTCTATTCTTTCATGAATTCTATGCTAGTTTTATCCTAAGTTTCTAGGTCTGTGTGTTTGAAATTATTTTCTTTCTTTATTGATTTGCTTATTATAAAGCAATACGTTAACATTTTAATGTTTGCATCATATGAGAGGATGCAAAAGAAGGCATTAGAACTCCCACAATTCCACCCTATACAGAAATAATGTCTTCATCTTAATATTGTTCTATTATCCTTTTTGATAGTTATTTGGAGGAAGTCCCACCAGCTATTTAACATACAGAGTAAACTCAATAAAGGTTATGCACTTTGTTGTGTACTTCTATTAAAAAAAAAAAAAAAAAGTTCTCAATTTTTCCTGCCCATTAGAATCACTTTGGGCATTTAAAAATAAAAACTAGAACAATGCTTGGACCCTTTTGCAATTAAATCATAATACCTAAGAGATTGGGCCAAGGCATTATTACTTTTTAAAAGGTTCCCCAGCAGTTGTAAAGTACAGCTTGACCCAAGAACCACTAATTTAGTCCCACAGTTCTCAATATATATTCTGGAACCAGTTCCCCAAGAACACTGAGATGAACACTAAAATATTTTCAGAAAAAGGGAACATGTGAAATAGGTGCACTAAAATATTCTCTAAAGATTTTTTAAAATTTTGCAATTTTTAATATTTTTAATATACAAATGAATCTATGAATATATGTATGTTATATGTATTACAAAGCACAAAACAGTAAATACTCATGAACTTACTAGTCAATCCAGGAACTAGAGTGTCACTGTTAAATTGTACTTGTTTTAGGTGAGTACCATGACCCATGCCTATAATCCCAGAAACTTGGGAGGCTGAGGCAGGAGGATCAAAGTTCAGGGCCAGCCTCAGCAATTTAGTGAGACTGTCCTAGGGATGTAGCTCAGGTGCCCCTGGGTTCAATCCCACCCCTCAACAAAGAAAAAAAAATTGTACTTGTTTTCCCCATTTCGTCCCCCTGCTTTTGCCTTCCACTTTCAGATAACTATCCTAAATTTTTTTTGCTTACTATCACTTGGCATTTGTTCCATAAAACTTTCTTCATTTTGTATTTTCCTAAACAATATGTTCCTTAATTTTATTTCTGAGCTTTATAAAAATGGGTCGTTTTCTGTTTGTCTTCTAGGACACACACACACACACACACACACATACACACACAGCGTTTTAAATTTTTTTTCCATATTACATCTGGCTATGGTACATTCATTTCACTACATTGCAATATATCATCATATGAACAATTTATCTCCTTTGTCAGAGAATTTCTAGCTTGTTTTCAGGTCTTTAGTTAATATAAAACAAGGCAGCTATGCATTTTAATGCACATATTGGTTGTTGTTATATATATATATATATATATATATATATATATAAAATTAGGGCATTAAAAAAGTAGCTGCTAAATATGTATGTATACACTCATGTTTATAAATGCATAGGAAGAAAATAATTTGAGTTTTCTTTCCATCTATATATTTTAAAGAATTTTCAGGCATAAACCCTGTGTTGTATCATCCATGTTCTATGCTGCAGAACTCTAGGGGGCGCTGGGCATGTGACTTGAGAAGGGAGTGGTGCCTCAGAATCATGGAGTGCAAAATTAAATGGCTTCTTGTTTAATAAAAAAAGTTATTAAAATAGAATTTTATAAAATAGCAAAAAATTACAGAAAACCAAAAAATAGAGAATATCACATGTTGCTGTTTTGTTTATTGGTTTGTTTTTGTTGTTGTTGTTGTTGGGTACTAGGGATTGAACCCACTTTACCACTGAGCTACATCTCCAGCCCTTTTATTATTTTGAGACAAGGTCTTGCTGAATTGCTGATGCTATCCTTGAATTTGTGAACCTCCTGCCTCAGCCTCCTGAGTTGCTGGAATTATGAATATGCACAACTACACCTGGCTTGTTGGCATTTTCTATCCTGCCTCTATCTGGAAAAATTTTGTCAAATTTTATGTGATGGAGAAAGGATAGATGACACTTATAGGGACCTGTGATTATTGTCTGTAGTTGAAAGATCATATTTTCTATTAAAAACATGGTAACCCATTAAACTTTTCACAAAATAGTTTTTAAAAAAGACAACTTGATCTCCCTCTTGCCACATTGCGTTTGTGGGGCAGGATGGGGGATGTTTTACGTACCATGATTAAAACATCCTTTGTGTAAGACTAGGAGAACATAATTTCCTCTAATCCTTGCATCTTGACTAGAACATTATTTATCATAAGCAGACGAGGCTTGGCATTTTATACTAGCTTTGTGATACTTTTATTGTCCTAAGCATAACTTATTGGAAGATGTCTTTATTTTCTCTCTCCCTTTTTAAATTCCCATTTAAATTCTTATTATGTAGAAGACCATCTTGAAAGTCTAAAATAACCTTAATACTTGTACTTTTTCTTTAGTTGATTTGAAAGACTTGATTACTTTATGACCTAGTAACCTCTATTCTTTTTTTTTTCAGGTTTCTTTAGAGGACTATTTAAAGAAAATTCAACAAGTGGATTTTGATATATTCCATCCATCTTTACAGCAGAAAAATACATTACTTCCATTATCTTTGTATATTCAATCATGGAGGAAAAGCTATTAGAACAACTTCACGATGTTGATATGAGTTTATTTTTAGTTCATTAGTTTTACAGAAATTTTCTAGTTAGGGTTCTTGTTTAGCAACAATAGCAACTAACTGTTTGTTTAAGTAGAAAAAGAATTATTGGTTGGGAGTTGAGTTAGCTCACAGAACTGATGTGAAGTTGCTGTGGGACTGGAGTGTCAAGACACTGCCAAGATTCTGCCACACACACCACCATTGGCACCACCAGCCCAGACAGGGTCTGTTGTGCCATCCCTGGGAAGTCAGAGCCCAGGAGGGAGCCATGCTCCTGCCAAAGGGTGGGGAGAGGGAATATATTCCTTCCTCCATCACCCTTAGGAAGAGAAAGGGGAAGAGACTCGACTAGCACTGGGATTTATATGCTAAACATCTGAAACTCAGGTGTTCTGTACAGCTGGAAATGCATTTATTTGCAGGTCGTGAAGGATGAACTTAACCTTTGAATAGGATCAGTTTCTATGTAGAGGGCTTTATATCCCTTATGTTTAATCTTTATGATCTTGTGTGAAAGTTTATCATGATGCTGAAACAGTTTATGTAAGGTACGGCACCTTCTGTGAGAACTGGAGCTCTAATTTGATTTTAGGTGTGGTTGGTCTGGAAGCTCTGACCTTATTGTTAACCTTACTGCATCAGTCTGTCATTCAGTATTATGATCATGAACAAACTGTTTTGGCAAAATTTGTATTAGTGTTAATTATGTTAATATTGTATTGAACATCCATTAAGTAGATGTATATTTTAAAAACTTGTATACATTGAGCTTCCCCTTGATAAGCACTGTAAACAAACACATTGTGTGTGTATTCTCATTTGATCTTCTTAAAAGCCCTATGAAATAAATGGTAATTAATGTATTTTTTGTGTGTGTGTGTTTGTGTGTGGTGTGTGTGTGTGCAGGGAGGTGCTAGGGATTAAACCCAGGACTTCATACATGCTGGGCAAATTACCACTGAGCCCCATCCCCAACCCTCTTTTGGTAATTAAAAATTTTTAAATATAAAATACTTTCCATAAAATACATACCAGTTGTAAAAAACAACATTGTTTACATTAGTGGTAATTGATAAATTTGGAGTGTGACTAAGTCTCTAATTCCCAGGATTCTGTCATTATGCCACTATTTCCTTTGTTCTGCATTTCAGTTTTCCTGTTTTTCATGGTTTTGTCTCTCTCCTACCCAACTAATGTCTCTAGTGTATTGGTCCCGTTTCTCCAAAGTCTCTGGACCTAGCTATGAATTAGTTCCTACTTAAATTGTGAGTTAATGCCTTAAAATATTACATTTTTGTGTAAATAAAATTCAAACTGAGAGCTTTTCAAGGACAAGAATGCATTGTTTCATTCGTCTTGGCACCTCAGTAACTAGAGTGGCTTCTGAGCAAGCCATTCTTACTTAGAGCAAGTAGAAATTAATAAATGTTTAGTTGAAGGAATGTTTAACATGGTGTTGTGTGTTATGCTTGGTTGATACTGATGCTGAAAGAGCATCCTCTTATTTAATGCTGTGGCTTTAGAGAGCTTTTAGCTTATCTTTAAATACAAGTACAAAGAAATGGGACATGTTTCCTGTTGGGATTGCAAATGCTCCAGGGTTGAAGAGTTCATTAAAGAGAGTCTTTGTTAGCATTGTCTGTGGGTCTTCCCAGGTTAAATTTGGCACTAATCAGCTGCTAAATATCTTGGTTCCTGTATAAGGAAATTAAAAAGAGGGTCTAAACATTCAACTGGATTACTAGATTCTTCACTAGCTCAGAAGCCAATTTACTATTAAGTAAATAATTTCAAAATACTTTCTAAGCTGTTTTAAATTTAATGCTTAGAGATTTGGAAGAATTAAAGTTACCAATCTCTTAGAGATTAAAATGGAGTCTTATTCAATAACATTTACTCTATTATTAATTTCCTGGCCTAAAACCTTCCTGAGATGGTGCCAATATTTCTTTTTACTTTGCAAATCTCTGGGGTTTTATTAGTATTTGAGAGAGTCAGATACATTTAAAAACCGTTTTAGATGTATTTTGATGCTAAATAGGTGGAGAGTAACCAATAACAAATATTAAGTGTATGTTACAGATTAAATTTGAGTAGAGTTGTCTGTCATTAAGAAGTTTTGAGGGGCTGTGGTTGTGGCTCAGTGGTAGACCACTTGCTTAGCATGTGTGAGGCACTGGGTTCAATTCTTGGCACCACATATAAGTAAATAAAATAAAGGTCACCAGCAACTAAAAAAATATTGAAAAGAAATAAATTTTTAGTAGTTCCTAGTCAATTGGAAATGTTATATCGCTCCTTTTGATGAAATAAATTTCTATTGAGAAATGTAATAGTTGGTAACCCTTCTTGAACACAAACACAGACAGGTGGTGTACTTATACTTGTATGCTTTCATCTTCACAGTGAGTAGGGTTCCCCCCACCTTTAGGTACTGGTAATTGAACCCAGGGGCACTCTACTACTGAGCTATATTCTAGCCCTTTTCATTTTTTTGAGACAAGTTCTAGTGCAGTTGCCCAGGCTGGCCTTGAACTTTCTGTCCTCTTACCTCAGCCTCCCAAGTACTGTAAAGTAGGTCTTTCTTTTCCAATGATAAAACTATCTCAGTAAGTTGTAGGTCACACAGCCATTAATACTAAAGCTGGATGGCAAGCCCACGTCAGTTCAGTGTCAAAGCCTAAAGCCCATTATTTGTACCATTCTTGAACTTCCAAGTGTAAAAGCTCAGAGGTACACAGTTTAAAGAAATGAGTATTACTGCATTAATTTCAGGTACAAATCAGATTTAAAAGTAATCACTACACAAGTTCCAAATTAGGTGAAGAAGAAATAGACAATTGAAATAGCAAGTGTTGCTCAGTGGGTACTTAAAACTGCCTTGAAGGTCAAAGGTTTCCCAGAAGAGGTAGCATGTAAATAGTGTCCGAAAGGTTGGGTAGAAGCCAAGGCTTGGAGAGTGGGTGTGAATGGTCTTGCTGGGAGGTCCTGATGGAAGGAGTAGTATATACAAGATCCAGGAGGCAGAATGTTAAGACTCTTATTACTTTTTTTGGTTTTAGCTTAAGTAAAAAGAACAGAATGTAATATCCAGCATTCTTAGAAAAGTTTGTGGATAAAAAGTGGCCACATCCTCTGGACTAGTGAAACACTTTGAAATAAGATCAAAGACTTATAGTTTGATCATTTCAACAAATCTCTAGGTGACCCTGGGAATGTTTTTTAGCTCACAGGAATTGGCTTTCTCTAAAGACATTGACCTAATTGATTGTCCAAAAAAAGCCACAGACTGTAAACATTTTGCACAGTTATTGAAAATAGAACATTATCCTACTGTGTGTTTCTGTAAGGAGGACTGAATAAGAAACTACACACACCCGGAAGTAGGAAGTATATTGGAAATGGGTCAGAGGAAAAAAGAGAAGTTGGGAGAATACATTAAAATAATGTGGACATTTTTGCCTATTTTTTTCCTATAGTGAACATAGATACCTTGGGTAATTGCAAAGTCATTTCTTAAAAACTAGAGTCCTTCAATATTACTCAGCAAATAAAAGAGAATAAAATCATGGCATTTGCAGGTAAATGGATGGAGTTAGAGAATATAATGCTAAGTGAAGTTAGCCAATTCCAAAAAAACAAATGCTGAATGTTTTCTTTGATATAAGGAGGCTGATTCATAGTGGGATAGGGAGAGGGAGCATGGGAAGAAAAGACAAACTCTAGATAGGGCAGAGGGGTTGGAGGGGAGGGGAGGGGGCATGGGGTAATTAATGATGGTGGAATGTGATGATCATTACTATCCAAAGTACATGTATGAAGACACGAATTTGTGTGAATATACTATGTATATACAACCAGAGATATGAAAAATTGTGCTCTATATATGTAATAAGAATTGTAATGCATTCTGCTGTCATATATAAATAAAAAAAATTTACATTTAAAAAAACTAGAATCCTTCAAATGAGAAATGTGATCTACAGGGAAGGTGATTATGGAATAATGAATAGATAGGTGGACATAGTCTTTCTGTCGTCATTCTTCTTTATGGCTGAGAAAACTCCATTATCAATATACCACAACTTCTTAATCCATTCATCTATCCACAATTGTGGTATGTAGACAATGGAGTTTTACTCAGCCATAAAGAAGAATAAAATTATGGCATTTGCTAGTAAATGGATGGAAATGCTAAGTGAAGTAAGCCAGTCTCGGAAAATCCAGAACTGAATGTTTTCTTTCATATGTGGAATTTAGAGCAAAATAAAGAAAAGAAAGGGGAGGCTCAGATATTATAAAGACAGAGTGAAGATCAACAGAGTAGAAGGAAGAGTTTGAGAGAAAGGGAGGAGGGACAGGAAAGGGGAGTAAAGAGTGAATTGATTTTTCAAAATCATGCTATGTGCATATATTACACCACAGAGAATTTCACCTTGTATATAAATAGAACCAATCAAAAATAGGTAGATGAGCAAAAGAAAGATCAGTAGAGGAAGGAATGGGAAGAGGGGAGGGAAAAGGTGGGGAACATGAACTGAAATCAAATTCCATGCCTGTATGATTTTGTCAGGATGAACCCAACTAATATATATAATGCTCTAATAAAAAAAAAGTGGTGGGGAGGGGTGGAAAGAGTGGGAATCTGAAAAAGCCTGATTGCCTGGGTTTAATCCCAGCCTCAACTCACTGGCAACTAACCTCAGCAAATTTGTAAACTAGGTAGTCATACCAGCCTCATCAGTTGTGAGGAGTAAATGAGTTAATACCTGCAAACTATTTAGAATCATGACCTGCATGTAGTAATAAACGTTATTACATTCTTAAACAAGTCAGAAATTGGCAGCCTGATCCAAATTAAACACAGGCATGGCTTTTGAAAAAGAGAAGTTGAATGCCTTTAGACAGGACAGGTACTCACCAACTGGCCACAGGTCCCAGCATGAGCTAACCTCACACCCAGCCTGATTCACACATTTGCAGTACTTGCTTGCTCTCTAGACACTTGAGCTGGCAGCAGTGGTTTAAGAGAATTGGTGGGTGCTGGATTAATAAGTGATCTGCAATGGGAGGCTGACCTCAGGGAGCACAGCCAGGCTCTCTCCCCAAAGGCTGACCATATTGAATTATTGTTTATGCCTTTCTCCTTCACTGGGCCAAGTACCTTGAGTGCAAGACACTATTTTACTCATCTCTATATCTTCAGAATTTACCATAGATTCTGATGCTACTCCAAAAATCTTAGTGGTCTGAAAAAACATGCTAGTGGGGTAGTGGACTCCCAGGGAATATTTCAATCTTTTATTTTTTTCTAATTAGTTATACATGACAGTAGAGTACATTTATGCATTTTGATATACATAAATGGAGTATAATTTCTCATGTTGTAGAATCACATGAGTCATGTAGTCATATATGTACATCAGGTACTAATGTCTGTTTCATTCTATTATCCTTCCTACTCCCCATACCTCCTCCCCTTCCTTTACTCCTAAAGTAACTTTATTCTTCCCTAGTCCCACCCTCTTATTGTGAATTAGCATTATCAGAGAAAACATTTGCCCCTTGTTTTTTGGGGATTGGCTTATTTTGCTTAGCATGATATTCTCCAACTCCATCCATTTGCCAGCAAATGCATAATTTCATTCTTCTTTAAAGCTGAATAATATTCCATTGTATATGTGTGTGTGTGTGCGCGCCACATTTTCTTTATCCACTTATCTGCTAAAGCACAACTAATTTGGTTCCATAGTTTAGCCATTGAGTTGAGCTGCTATAAAGCTTCATCACTATAATATGCTGATTTTAAGTCTTTTTGGTATAAACTGAGGAGTGGGACAGCCGGATCAAATGGTGGTTCCAT